ACATGCAGCTTCATCAAGCTCTTCATTGTCACTGCGCTGAGTAGTAGAGGGCCCAGGGGCTGCTCTGAAAGAATTACAGTACTATAAAGGCAGTATAAAGCACAGTCATTGCAAAGTTTGTACTGCTGAAGTGCAGCAACTTCTGCCGATTCTATGGAATCCCAACATCAACTCTTTTACCATGAGTTTGGAGAAGACTTAGAAGGCTTAAGATGGGTTGAATTTCCTATGTGCTCTTTTTCATGACATTCAGTTCTTTGCATTCCATGAAACGAGAGCTGCAAACAGTGGTCCACAATTACTCAGTGGAATACAGGACTCACGTTTCAAGCATGTCTGTTTCCAGGTACATTGTTATACAGTTTGCTGCTTTCTGGCAAAATATTTGTGCCTTTCATCTTCAAAGATAAAATAGACAATAATGCATTTTTCTGAAACTTCAGTATCACAAGTAACCTGGTTTGGACTTTTTCACTGGGGAAAGATTAAATCTGCATTTTACTAACGAGATATTTTTTAACGTACATACAGCTTTGATCATTCCTAGAAAGCAGTGTAACTGCCAACATTTGTAGAACATACAAACAAAAGAAAGGCTACAAACGAGAGGAGAACATTTGACCCATCTACCTTGTTTGATTGCCAGTAGCTAAGTGATCCAGGGATTTCACCCAGCTGTTTCTTGAAGGACATCTGTCAATACTTATTTTAGTTACCATTACAATTGTCTTTCAAATCATTTTCTAATGATCATTTCTTTCTTCCGCCTACCATACTTTTTTCCTAACTGACTTATTAAAACATTGGGGCGTCTGCTTTCTGGTTCATGATAAGTGTCCTCTGGGTATGAATCCTATGCTTGATTTAGAATACAGTATCTTTCAAATTCTGCTATTCATTAAGCTTGACATTTGCCAAATAGCCTTTATGCTTCATGTGAAGACGTTTAGCCGATGGCTTCAACATCAACTCAAATCTTCCCTTACACTCACTGTCATGATTATACAATGTGATATAAAGTCATGTTTTTTCCTAATCACCCATTTTACTTTCACTCCGACTAATGCTAGAGCCAAATCATAAAATCACGAAAGGCCTCTTCCATCTTTACCTCATCCTAGCTTCATATTCAACCCTATGCCTGGGAGGAGGTATTCGGACAATTTTTAGATCGATAGCACAAGACAGCGCACTGCTCTTGTACACACTACATAGAAAGCATTGAGACTGATGACATAAAGATTTCAATTGATAAAGAAGCATGGAACTATGAGCCTTCTTATAGTTTTGTCCAGTATACAGGACATCACTAGTTAGTTAGAAATGTAATTTTCAGGAAGAGTAAGAGAGGTTTCTACAACACTATCAATATATTTCAGGCGGGTAGCTGCGTCAGCATGCGTAGTCTGCAAAGGAACAAGTAATAGGTTTATTCTATGCTGAAAAGAGAAGAGAGAAAACACGTGGCTGTGAAGCCTTCTTCAGGTGTGAGCTATGACTCACACCACGACTGACAATCAATGACTTCTAAATCCTGCTGTTATTGGAAACAACATAAGAACAGTACAGGATATTCCTCCAGCAAGTAACACTAACTCAAAGCATCTAGACTACAAGGGCACATTTTAACAAGTGTGGACATTGGTTTCTCCACATAACCAAGCGGAAAAGAATAAGACCACATCTTCTTCAAAGAAATAACTTTTGTTTCTATTTGTTACATCATGTCCAGCTGAGAACACACAAACAGTGCTGAAGCTGTATGAGTTGCTGCATGGAATTACTTTGTCCTAAGATGGCACTGATTACACAGTGAAGTGGAAGACATACACTCTGCTGATAAAAGCTAGAGCTGATCTTGGGAAGAACAGACAAAACTACGAGTCGCAAACTGCACTTTTCTGCAATTTTCAAGCTTCCTGTGAGAGTGTGTTATCCAGAACACAACAAATGAAGAGAAAGGACCCGAGACCCTTTTGAGGAGAAATCAGCTATATTTGTGCTTGTGAGAACCCTTGCCTTGTGTGGACAAGCCAGGAGCTTTTTGGCTCCAAGCTTCACTTTGACATGTTTGCTGGGAAGATGCTACTTTTTATATATTCTTTGAAGAACTGAGCACTGCCCACTGCAGCTACACTCTATTGTTGTGTAAGTTAAAATTTATCTTGTTCATTTGGTCATTGAAAGGAGGCTAAGACATCTACCTCTCTTGACTGTTTCTGGTCTCTTAACCTGGAAAAGCTCAAATAAACTTCTCAAACCTCTTCACTATTAGGTGCATGATAAAAATCTGTTTAAACTGACTGAAGGGAATAACCTAGGGCTACATGCTAGGGGGGTTCTGAAAAATTACCCTCTTCACTCATTTTAAAAACAGACATAACTGTGCAGGTATATCAGACCAAGCGTTTTCTGACATTAGCTAGCATTGAGGCGAAAGTACTGTGCAATTCACAGAACAGAAACATCAAGTGTCACCAACATGTCATACAGTTACACTACCAGCTGGAGAGAAAAAAAAAACTGAAAGAAGAAAAGTTTTCTCAATTCTGAATTTCAAGTTCTGACTTACTGGAAGAACTGAGACATCAACTGAAATAAAAGAAGCCAGGGACAGGTTAAATATCTCTTTACTTGAATTATGCTTCACAGCAAAATTGGTTTAATGCATTTTTCATTAGGGAAACAGAACCGAAACGAGCGGCCACACGATAGCACAGTGCTGGCATTGCTGCCTTGCAGCACTGGGGCCGTGAGGTCAATTCTAGACCTGGGGTGTTATCTGCATGGAGTCTGTATGTCCTCCCCATGATCACATGGGCTTCCTCCCAGAGGCCAAAGGCATACTGGTTAGGTCAATTGCCCTGTGGGAAAAAAATGGCCCTGGTGTGAGAGTAAGCACGTCTGTGTCTGTGTGTGCCCTGCAATGCACTGGCAGCCTGTCAAGGCCTGTTGATTGCTCCAGCTACCCTGCCACCCAAACTTTAACCTGCAGCACATGCAGCACAGCAGGGCACTCATCTGTATGCAGCAGGAGCCTGAGGCAGCTCCTTTCAACCATCAGCAAAGACTAATCTCACCTCTGCCTAGCCGGCGCTGTTCAACAGCCAGAAATCAGTCCAACTGGGTGAGTTAATTCAAGGGCAAGCAACACACCACACCCAGAGGCTCCAGGGGCAGAGGACAGCAGAAACAGCTGAGAAACCACTGTGTGCCTGTGGCTGGCAGATACTTAAGACCATCCCGAGCAAGTCTGAGGGGTTCGGATTTCCTATTCAACAGCAGCAATACCTTCTGCTTGCTGTGCTGTGTCTCAGGCCTTCCTCTTTCAAGGCCTGATATATTGACTCACCGACTACAGCCTCTCTCGCTGCAAGCTAGAATATATTGACTATAACTCCAGAACACCACCATTCTACACCTTTTGTCAAGTGAGACAAGTGGCAGGCAATTTTAATGTGCAATTTAACGGCGTCCTGGTTTTCATACAGATTTATTTTGATACAAAGAAACAATAAATTTGCTGCAGGCAAGGTTGACACCTGGCTAACTCACTGAGCAAGAGGCAGCATCACATTTTGACTCATACTAATTCCTGTATAAAGATTTCAGTTTCAATATCAATAACAAAAGGGCCTAGAAAATAATCAACTTGCTTTGACTTGTTATTGCTGAGTGTCGAAAGCGACAGCAGAACTATATACCAGCAATGTTTACTTCTCCAAGTGTGCTGTCATCCTAACCACAATAATCAGGTAGCCTATACTAATATATAATGAAATGAAATGAACTGACAATGAAATATCCCAGGCGTCACATCAAGTAAACTAACAGAACAGCACTTTCTTCATCAGAAAACGGAGGAATTGTTTTTGGTATGCATGTTCATTCATAAATCACACTGATGCTTGCTTGCTCAGCAAAGGAAAAATAATCGTAGTCGAAGGTTTTCTTTCAATTTTCAGTCAAATTTAGGCAGACACAAGTTATTGTATTACATGGGAAATACATACCTGGGAAATAAAACACAAAAGCCATCTTAAATTATCTTAAATGAGAGCTTCTGCATCAGAGACCGGGGTCTTTATTTAAAAGAAATGCCACGGTGAACCGTAACAGAAGCTACCGTAACAGAGTCCTGTACTTAAGCATATGCTTAACGTGTGTGGTAAAATACAAGTCTCACTCGTTTAAAACAACTGGTTATGGGGTTTATGGCATCGTTAAAAGTATATTGGAGACCCCCAAAACTGCATCAGTCCTGTTGTGCTACACAGCCAATAAAATAGTATATTTCGTTGCGTAAAAAATAAATCTAAGTATATCTAACATTTGTAATTAAAAAAGTTGTTTTCATTGCTCGCCAAGTTAACATGTATGCACCAGGCGCAGATCACCTTGGCAGTATATATACAACCATGGCACATCCCTTAGCAAGATACCAGATCTTAAGAGCGGTTAATTAGTTCAGTTGCACGCTCACCCGTCTGTGTAAAAATGAATACAGACGCTGCACACACTGCAGTACCAAATAATAATCCATATATTGTTTGCATTGATTAAAGATGAACGTTAGTTTTGGCAACCTCTAGCGAAAGCAGCAGATCTTCTGCAGATTTTTTTATTACAGCAAAGCAAAATATTACAAAAATCGCATTTAGGAAGTAATCTATCGGCTATACCTACAGTATATGCCAGACAGCTAGAGCAACAGTTCTATCCAGATATGCTAAGTCCCTTCGCAGAATGGGGAATGAAAGTATAAAACGGCAGCAAAACGAAATAATCGCTATATCTGAATATTTCATTCAGAGCAGCGGCTATCCTGAGAAGAATGCAACACCACCCCAGCAATCTACATTCCGATCATTAGCGGGAATGTTAAATAAAAAGTCTTATAGACTTGGGGCCTACGCTCCCAGGACAACTCCTCGGACTGTCCTATCACCCCCTTACCGACTATCACAGCCACATATCCGCGAAAGCGTGCTTTCCCTTACCTTGCTTGCTTTCTATTTTCCCCGACATTTCAAAGATAGTGTCAGACTCGGCGGAGAAGAAAATCCCACGATCGGCTGCTTCCCCCTTTTTCGGTTCTCCTTACTCCCGCATCCTTAGATAAATCAAGTGGATGTGGCGGTTTTGGTATATTCAGGACAGCTTTCTCCACACACAGATCAGTTATTCAAAATCCTTAATCTCTCACAAGCCTCCAGTGCTCAATGAGGCCAGCACAGTCCTGCCTAGCAGTAGTAGTACTCCGTTGTGTGGAGGATAGAAGCTCTTCTGCCCTCTCAAGGTTGGAATGAAACGTGCATTAAGCTCCTTCACATTTTAGTTGGGCTGCTCAAATCAAGTTTTTGGTACCCTGGGGCCATATTTTTCCTGTGTATTCACAGGTTTTAAATAAGAGAATAAATGAATGGATCGCCTTAATTTTAAATTACGTATAAGTTTGTGTTTCTTACAGCTCTGTCAGTAGAGACAAACTTGGTTTTTCCACTCATCCCATAAGATAGGAATCATTTAGGGGAAAATGCAAAATATGAAAATGTCCATAAACAAAAGCTGTCTCAATGCCTTTTTATTTGAATAGTGAATTAAAATTTGAATAGCCAGCTGCTTCTTTTCATATTTTGGCTCCACAAACTCAGTAACCTGAGCTCAAACCCATGGTCCCTGTATCAAAGAGTTCAACCAGCTTGGACCAACAACTCCAAAGCCTACCACTTTTTTGTTGTTGTATTCAAATAACATTATGTTTTTCTATGTTGGCCCACAGGGTGACACAGTTGTGCAGTGGGTAGTCTTGCCAGGGATGTTACATTAGTGGAGTGTGTATGTTTTTCTTTGTGTCCGTCTGGGTTTCCTCCTCATGCTCCAGTTTCATCCCCCTGCCCAAAGACATACTTGTAGATTAATTGGCTTCTGGGAAAATTGGCCCCGGGTGTCTGTGTGTGCCTTACAATGGACTGGTGTCCCATCCAGGATGTATCCTGCCTTGTGCCTACAGCTTGCCAGAACAGGCTCCAATTTCTCGTGACCCTGAATTGGATGAAAGCGATAGCAACTGGATAGATGTAGGTCTATAAATGAATGAATCCTTCTGGAATGCTCCATTTATAGAAATATCCATTTAAAAAACAGCTTTAGAAATAGTTTATTATGGTTTGAGAGTACTGTCACATTCCTGCAGTATCAGTTTACACTCCTTTCACCCCATCCACTATCAGAAAGCTGGGCACAGCAATCCAGCACCTATTTCGAAAGCACAGGGTTAAAGGCGAGGCTACATGTTGGACAGGATGCCTGTCCAGCAAAGGATGCACAGAAACCTATTAATCTAGCTAGGAAACCCTTGTTTTTTTTAGAAGAAACCAGCCCACCCAGAGAAAACCATGTCAACCCATGTGAACACAAGAAAAATGTGCAAATGTCACACAGAAGGTGCCCCAGTCCACAACTGATCCCAGGACATGAGCACATGAGCACTAATTTATATTCCACCACACAGAACTACACGTGGCATAGTGCTGTGAAAATGCAAGTTAAAACAGCAGGCACAATATTGAATTTGACCTCTAGACATAGACAATGTGATTGTGTCTTCTGCAATGTGAAAATACAATAAGCGCCTCACATCCATCCATTTTCATTTTGCTTACCTTGGTGAGGGTCAACTGCAGTGACAGCTTTCAAACAACCTCCTGCATTAGATAACATTTTTCAATTAAGACAGAATTTTCAGTTAAATTGACACAGTGAGCACTTCAATTAAAAAATAAAATTAATCAGGCTAGTTTTGTGAATAGCTTGTTTCCTATTTAAATTATTGGGCGTGAACCTCTTTTTCAGACATTAGTTACAGCTAGATAAAGAAGGCTGCCTGAATGCATCATAAAACTGACCTTATGAGATGATCACATTGCACAGACTAGAGTAGGAATGAGTGAGCCAATTGTGTGACCTGAGACAGAGAGAAACTAATACATAGTGACAACCGAATCTGGATAGTTAGAACAATATAGCACACACTGGCTTAGAGCCTACTGCCCCCTGAATGAACAATATTAAGTCATGGGATCATAGGAAGGCCTTTTTAATGGAACAGCTACCAACTAAACTAGAAATCTCTCGTTCAACCATATGTCAACAACACTCTCTGATTTAAATTAAAACTCATTCAGCCCAGCGAGTGATAGCTCCGCTGTTGTAGAAACGTATTTTAAAGCGGTTTTTGTACATGTATATCTGCAATTCTATTTATGATTGGTACATAAGCAGACAGCAGTGGAAAGCACAGAAATTAAAAGTTAAATGCACCCTTTCCTGTATTTAGATTAACCATAGCCAACTTTATTGACACTGGTATTGTTCTCCTTATTGTACTCCTTATCTAAAATGATGCCTGTGGTCATATACAATTATGTAAGAACTTCCACAGAATATGGGTGTTGTTCAGTGGCTCAGTTGCACAATTCAATAAGAATCTACAAAGTGTAGCGGTACCTATCAACCAGCTGCATTATTTTAAATCTGGCATTGAAGTAACGGTAATAAAAAAATTCTGAGTAACTCATAATGCAACATGATTTATTCTCTTCATTTTAGTCTCTCACATGCTTTACAATAAGTTGTTTGACCCAGTACATTTCCATTTAATAATTCTACAAGAATGTTTTTTAATGTGTTTTCTAAAGGTTCTGTTCTGCCAAGTTGATGTAATACATATAACACTGTCCTCTAAAAACAATACACTGTCATAATCCCACTTCAGACATTTTATTGATTTTCGCTTTGCTGCCTCTTGAATTTGTATCTTTACCCGTAAGTCATACACTGCTTCTTCACAAATCAGCCTGGTAACTGCATAGATAGTTGGATTTAATTGTTTTTATCAGAAAAAAAGAAAAACAATTTAATTTCCTGATAAATGAAATGACTTAAAAATTCAGAAACTTCCTTGAAATGACAAACTTCCCATTAGCAGTATCCATGACAAGACATTATATATGACATGACACCCGCACAATTCTTTACATGCTTTATCTATGAGGTGGATAAATACAGTTGGAGGTGTAACAGTGCTAAAACTGAAATAAAGGTAATAGTATTGTTATTGGAACATGGAAACAAGTAGGTAAGGGCCTCATATTTAACTTAACATTTACTGTGAGTACTCAGCAGTGTCTGTTTTGATGCACACAAGCTCTGAACCGCCCCTTGTTTAGAGGCAATGCAGTACTGTACCTGAGGGAAAAGCAGTACTGTGCGTGATGTTTTTTACATGAACAGTCTATTTCAAAACAGCGTCATGAAGGACGCATGTGGAGTCCATGATGTAAGTTTGGGCTTCTTTTTGACGGTTGCTGTTCGTCTTCTATACGGCACTGTTTAACATAAAATTCCAGTCCCGCTTTCCTCATTGTCAGCTGTGTTTTTGAATAAATACAATCAAAGGTAAATACACACTTCAGTTCCTTCAAGGCAGAGCCCCACCCACGCCGACACACGCTTTGCTCTATCTGAACAAAAGAGGAAGCACTGTTCACAACCGAACAGGTTTTTTAGCCTTACAGAATGTGTGGCCTAAGGCCATCTTTAAAAGTACACAGAGAGGGAACAAGAAAGAAACTCCTCTGATAAAATTTGACATGTGTGTTAACCTGTCGGGTCACAAATGCAGACAAAGGAATCTGCAAGGGCCCACAAGGTACACCAAAGGAACTTTTTCAAACATATAAGACTTCATTTAATTTTTCCCCGGTATTAAACTTGCTACATTTATTATGGCTACCCAAAACGTCCATTTTACGAATATCAATTAAATTAAACAAAAGATGTTTGATATTTTGCTGGCATGGATTCTGGTTGTAGTAATAATAATAATAATAATAATAATAATAATAATAATAATAATATTAGTCATGTATATGTGACACATCCATAAAAGCCAGTTGTAACATGTAGGGCTATGTCATGGGCATTTTTAACACGGAATAATAATAATAGCAACCACAACACAAAAAGTGCAAGACTACAAGCCATTATACTATGATGCACTGACATCTAGTGGTAGAACTGAAACCAGATGATTCTCCTTCATGGAATTAGGGTACACCTTGAGTGGAGGGGATAATGATAATAATTGCTTACACTTATATAGCGCTTTTCTGAACACTCCACTCAAAGCACTTTACAGGTAATAGGGACTCCCCTCCACCACCACCAATGTGCAGCATCCACCTGGATGATGTGACGGCAGCCATAGTGCTCCAGAACGCTCACCACACATCAGCTATCAGTGGGGAGGAGAGCAGAGTAATGAAGCCAATTCATAGGGGGGGATTATTAGGAGGCCATAATTGGTAAGGGCCAATGGGAAATTTGGCCAGGATGCCGGGATTACACCCCTACGCTTTTCGAGATACAAAAAACAGTATAAAATATAACAGTAAAATAAAAAAGGCATAAGCATAATTGAATAACCATTCAATTAATCTTTAGTTGTAATCAGTTTATACTGAAGAATGTTATTAACACTTCTTAAGGACTTAAAATATTGTAATTTTAAATGATAATTAAATTCTTAAACAAAATGTATAAAATTTCAGGCTAAAATGAAGTGACTGTCTAAAATGCAGACTAAAATTAAATTTCATGTGATTATGTGGCATCATGGGTTACACAGAATGTTTTAGTTACTGTTATTTCAGTGCCTGATCTGAAGTCATATATAAAAAGAACAGTGCAACTTTCAGATGTTAAACCACTACACTATGTGCTTCCTCAGCGATAATGAGCTTCCTGCATTGAGGTCAGCTCTGGTGGTCACAAGCAGCAGCTGTGACATTCTTTAAATCTAATATAGAGGAGACAGTCTGCTTGTTCATCAAGATGCTATACTTTAGTGTACAAGTTCATAACATATAACTAAACTAAACACATAACTCATGATCAAAATCTTCTAGCATGCATCTGACAACTGTGAAACTGCAAAATTATAGTAAGTTCACTATTACATGTTGTTTGTTGTGCAAGACACAGAGCCTGGCAGTTTAGAGCAGCTGCCTCCAAGTTCTTGTGTCTTCCCATGTTTGGTGTGGATATTTCTCAAACAGCCCACCTCCCAGAGACACGCTGGCTGGTTAACTGGTGTGCTTAATTGTGCTTGCTTGTGTTTGTGTGGCAATGGCTTGCTCCCATTGATCCCACTATAGGATTCCACTATAGGATCTTACTTACTTTTATTGTCCCAGATGGGATATTTGC